TCCTTTTTCAGAGACTCCAGTTACATATATATTCTGTTGCTTGAAGTAGTCCCACATCTCACTGATGCTCTGTCCATTCCTTTTAAATTTCTTTTCTCTTTGTTTCATTTTGGGTAGTTTCTATTGCTATGTTTTCAAGGTTTGATTTGAGTCTTTTTTTTTTTTTTACATTTTACATTGAGGGAGTCACCTTGGGTCATCCTCTGACCTCACCCAGACTTTCAGATGTCTGTAGTCTCACCTAACATCTTGACTGTCATTGCATAAGAGACCCCAAGCTAGAAACACTCAGCCACTACAAAATTCCTAACCTACAGAAATTCTGTAAGAGAATAAGTGTTTATTATTGTTTTAAGCTACCGTGTTTGGGAGTAATTTGCTTTGTAGCAATAGATAACTAATAATATTCAGAATCTGATATAGGAAGCTTTCTGAATTCATCTTCTCCAGCCCCTAAGTTCCACAGTAGCGCAGTACAGTACCACATCCTAGGGTTCCTCATTGCTGGATTTAGACAAACGAGAGGGAGCAAGGCTCACTATGCTGTTTCCCCTCCACCTGCAGTGTTCCTGGAGTTTGCATGTAATATGTTGTAGAAATGATGGATTTTGAATAAACCTTCTAATTTGACACGAATATATGAAATATACTCTCTCCCAAAGGCCCTTCTGCTGGGTGTGCCTTACTCATTTCCCAGAGGTGGCTCTCTGAGAGAAGGAATTTCTGGAGCTTGTGTCTGGGGACTCCACCAGCTACCCACGGACCTTATCAAACTGATACACTTACAAAGGTTGGGGAGGGAGCTATGGTGAGACAGCAGCAGGCCTGGAGTAGGGCCTTGTTGCATGCAGACAGAATGGGACATCCTTTGACCATTACTTACACTAATGGACTGCATTGGTGTAGAGCTAGAAATGAGTGGAGGCAGTGGCAGAAGTCAGTATTCTCAGGAGGAACTTGGATGCACCTAGGCTCAGACACATGGGAAAGGGGAGAGGGGATTAACCTTTGTTGAAAGTATTACCAAGTCCAACCTCATACTGCTTGCCTCCCAGACCAATAAATCCAGGGATGAGTATTTGGGGGTAAGGCATAATGACTATTCAGAACGCCAGCAGACCGAGAAGATGGTGGATTACTGTCCCAAAGAACCATCTCGCCTGAGTTAGAATTCAGGCTTCTTTTATACTAAAAGGGGAAGGAGTAAAGTCAAACATTTCCTGGTTCTGGTCAGCCTCTGGAGGGGATGTGTTAATTTCTTCCTTCCTGCAGGCATTTTCACAGTGGGCCTGGTCAGGATGTTTCCTGTGAGCTAAGCAAAGGTATTTTAGCTTAATGCTCATTACCTGGGAGGCAGGGTTCCCAGTGATGGGCCATTATGTATAATTTAAGCTTATGGGTAACATCCCTTTAATAATTACCTGGTAGCAAAAGCAATAGAATACAAAGGTGAAAGTAAAAGAAACAGATCCAATATGGAGTCAGATTTGTTCTTCCCTGTTACAGAAGCTGTCATGTGACTGGCGTTTGCACCCTCTCTTTCTGCACCCAGGTGCCCACCTGTGCAGTTCTAGGTGCAAACAGTGTATCTGGTCCCTTCCCAGGCACTGCAGGAAGGAGGCCAGCTGACCCCCATCCAAAGTGCTGATGCTCAGGGACACCTTGGTCCCCTCTTGTCTGGGGCACTGTCTGAGGGGCTGGAGGCAGGTCCTCCTTGTCCTTGGGAACTGTGTGCATCCAGGGTAGAGCAGCTCAACCAAAACCTGGCTCTCCAAGGCCAGCAGGAAAATATCAAATCATTCAACAGCCTCGTAATGTAGATACCGTTAGCCTTGCTTTGCACACGAGGGATCTGATGTGCTGAGTAAACTTAGGGAAAAGGCACCTTCCTTTGGCTGCTTCCTCTAAGCGCCACTAGACAGTGGTTCTCAAAGTGTATTCCCAAGGGCCAGCAGCATCAGAAAGCTGATTAGAAATCCAGATTCTCCTCCTTTCTCTGGAGCTGTAGAATCAGGAACCCCAGGGCTGGGTCTACCAGGGCTATGCTTACCAGTCCGTTGTTAAACACTTCCATTATTCAAAATTAAATCACACAGATCTACTATTAAATAAATTATATTAAAAACAAAGATAATCAGTCTTCAAAATGTATCACCCCCTTCTGATACATTTTGACTTCATTTAATATTACTTGTGCCTGAGAGCCTGTTGACCCCTGTCGTATCTGTGTGGCAGGAGCCCTGCAGTGTATTTCTTCCCAGGGTCATACTCACTGATGACATGAAATCATCCATTGGGGGAGGAGTATTTATATCACAGAAGTTGGCAAACACTAAATCAGGTTGCCTGATTTTTTTCAGAGAGCCTATTGTTAAACGTTTACCGCAACACCATCAGATCTGGCGCTCTGTGTTTTAACAAGCTCTGGGGTGACTCTGACACCTGCTCAAGGCTGAGATCTACCCAGCGTGTTTCAGCTGGATGCTTCGTACTGACTCCTTATGTGTCTTTCATGACAGCCTTCACAAACGTCATACTGGAAACAGGAAAGCAGACTCCCTCTGCTCTCCTGCTTCCCCTCCCCTCCCCTTCTGTTCCCTGCTCCCAGCCCTCCACCCACAAGTGACTGAACAAGATGCTGAGCTCAGAGCTGTGGGGTTAATCAGCGGCAGGAGGCAGGAGGGATCTGGGCAACCGAAAGCCAGTTCTGAGGGCCCCCTGCAGTGATGGGGCCACCCTGGGAATCACCCGAGTGAGCGGTGGGTCCCAAAGTCACAGCCTGGCTCTCCAGGGCAGCTTCTGGTCCACAAAGTCAGCCAGCAGCCTCTGTCACAAATGTGGGAGGGGAAGTGCTCCAGCTTCAGGCACACCCAGGTGCACATCCCAGCTCACCCCTGCCAGCAGTGGGACAGGGGCTGGTTACTTCACCTCTCCAACCTCTCCATCTGCTCATCCAGGCAAATAGGAGTAGTGGTACCCACCCCTGTGGGAACTCTAGAAAGATTAAATCCAATAGTTTAGACAAAGAGCCAGGAATATAGTACAAGCTCTCTAAGCAGGAGCTATTACTGCTTTTCCATTTAGCTGGAATACAAAGTAATGTTAGTGGCAATATTGTTATTCCCATTTTATGGATGACAGATATTGAGGCACAGAGAGAAAAAAGCAAAGTGCTCAGGATTACACCCAAACGGTTACTGAAATAGCAAACACCATCCCATTAGCCAGTGATGGACCTCGTCCACACCCTCTAATGAGCACGTTTCCCCATCCTTGGGCTATGGTCCTGATTTATTCCCACCAGCTCCAGATTCCCTAGAAAGAAACTGTTAATTTAGTTATAATGATTACCATCTGGTTCTCTGGTTTATTGCTGTAATTTCTCTACAGCAAGCATCCGTGGGTGAAGACACCATTCTGCCTTTACGTTACTTAAATGAGAAAAAGCATCTCCCTCTGTCTGTGCACCACCAGACTCCAGCAGCCACGTGGAGGCTCCAGTTACCTTTAAAGCCAGGAACTGCTGGGAAAAGATGGGAGTGGAAAGATGAGTGCCCTGTGAACACACATAAGGGTAGGGGACTGAAGGCGACGACGTGGATAAAGCAGATGATCACGCCAGTCACTTGGGCAAGTGCAGGTGCAGGGGTGCCATTCCCCCACCCGGCGTGGAGCCCTGACACACAGTAATAGCTAGGATTTATTTAGCAAATACATGGCTTTCATTGTGTGCCAGGTACTGCTCTGAGGACTTTCCAAGTACTGATTTTCATTTCACGTTCACAACAGCCCCACAAAGGACTATCATTATTTCTACTTCACAGATAAGGAAATTGGGAGGTTGCACAGAGAGATTAAGCAATTTGCCTGAGGTCACACAGCCAGTAAGTAGCTGAGCCAGGATCAGAACCCCGGCAGTTAGACTGTAGGGATGGAGTTTCCCATGGAAAGAACCCAAAATGTCTAGTTGGAGTTGAACGCAGTCCGAGTTGAACAGATCTGAACGTGAACAAAAGGCCTTGGTGGAGATCAGTCACTCTGCATAGATAAAGGGGACAAAGGAGGCCCTGCCTAACCTGGTTGGGGGTTGGGGAGGATGAGTCAAAATGGTTATGACAGCACCTTGTCTAGAGCAGGACTTCCTGAACAGGAATCTGGTGTCTCAATGCCACTGAGAAGTGGGAATTGCTATCTCGTTGTACAGATATGGAAACTGGAGTTCAGAGAGGTTAAGTGGTTGCCTGAGGTCACACAGCCTGGAAGTGCAGGGCTGGGACTCAAACCCACCCAACCCATCCCTATACTTCCTGCTCTTATCCTGCATCTTTCAGCCTGCAGATTTCAGCATTAGAGAACAAGGTGGGATCCACTGGGACCCACCCCTTGTAAGGTACACACATGAGTACACCAGGCTTATGGCACCATCTGTCCTGGGTCCCTTCTGCATGGTAGCTGATTCCCATGGAACAGGTAGAGAAATGAAATGTCACCCAGCCTGGAGGGGGCAGAACTGGGCTCACGCAGATCTGTGTGTTCTTTCCCCCATGTCACCTCCTGAGAAGCCTTTCTCTCCCTGACCCTCTACTGCCTAAAACTCCTGCCCCATAAAGCCTACAAAGGGGCGCACTGGGACAGGGGCCCCCGGGATGATGGAAACTTCCTCCCTGCTCCTGACTTGGTCTTCTGCGCCCAGGGGAGTGATGACCCCAGGTGGTCTCCCATGGGCAGAGCTCCTCCGAGGGTGGGTACTGCAGGCAGTGTTGTCCCACGCCAGCGGGGACCCCATGCAGGGCCTTCTCTGTGCCCAGTGCCGGCCATGGTGAGGAAGTCTGTGCTCCTCGGGGCACCCAACCCGCCCTGCCGGAGCCTGGAGGGCGGGGCCTGGAGGGCGGAGCCTCTGACCCTGTGGCCCCACCCTCTGCTCTCCAGGAGCCCTGACCGCAGAAGCCCTTCCCCAGCCTTCTCATGACCTCTGTGTTTGTGTTTGTTTCTCTATTTAGGGATTTATTTCTCTGCAAGGGACCCAGGTGACCGAACTTCTTCCTGGCCCCGAGGACCCAGGAAAGCACCTTTTTGAGATCAGCCCAGGTAGGTCTGACACTTCAGCTCTGTGCTGGGGCCCCTGGTGGCCCCGGTGGAGGTGTCACTGCCCCTCTGGCTTGGGAAGGGCCATCTTCACAGCACTCCTCCCAGCACTGTCACCAAACACAATTCAGAAAATGTGGGCCAAATCTAGAGGATACTGCAAATTTGGGGGAAAATTGGAAAATCTAATCAATCACCTGGGTAATTAGCTTTTGGTGAGAGGAAAATATGGATTGTCAAATTCACAGTAAACACAAGAAAAGAAACCAATCAGTGGGGACACCTTGTGGTGACGGTCCAAACACAGTATCTGGGTCATATGCAAATAAATCCAGGGGGAACCGCTAGCAGAGATTCAGAGCCATAAAATAAGCTCTATCATGAATCCCAAAACAGAGCATTGCAATGTGATGAGAAGAAGGGAAATAATTTAACTCAGAGAACCGCTATCATGTTAGCGGTTACAAAACAATTTTTTTTAAGTTCTCAGTTTTAAAATGTAATTCTTATTGAACTAAGTAAATGTGTCTTGCAGATGAGTCTGTCTGTTTAAAGAGGGGTCGGCTTCTGCAGTGAGGTGGTGTCTTTCTTAGCTTGACCTCCCCCAGATGCAGAGCCTCAGACAGGGAGGGGATCCAGGGTTGATTTCCAAAGCGCCTGGGGAAGGGAGCAGGAAGGGGGGACGGCCAGCAGGGTGCGCTCGTGAGCTGGCGCTGCTGCGGGCACCGGGGCTCAGTTCCAGTGGGCACTCCTCCGGGAACAGACTCAGAGATGTCTCACGCAGGGAGTGAGGAGGCAGGGGGTTTATCCACCAACTCCCACCGGCCATGAACTGAGAGCTGCTCCCTGGGGAGCTGACTTTGGCATGTCTGGTCTGGCCTGCCGTGCGCGCGGCCGAGCTCCCTGCATTCAGAGGCCTGCAGGTAGAGCTGCAGGTGCTTGAGGAGAGAGGCCGCTAGCGTGGATGGGAACAGCGAGTGCCCGGGGGTCAGGGCAAGGCACCAAGAACGTCGCCTACAGGCAGCTAGTCCTCACATCCTGTCACATGCTGTCTGAATTTAGACTTCCTTCTGGGAAGTGGTGGCTGTGGACTGAGTGTGCGAGGGCCTCACTGGGGGTCCGTGGGCCATTAAGGTTACAGTCTCGGAGCAACACGGCCACTCAACCACGCTGCAGGCTGTACACCGTCGGGTGGATCAGCCCGGGCACAGGCCAGCATACTGTGGCCCAGTGGGAACAGAAGTGAGCAAATCCATGCCTGGGGCAGGGCACGTTCTCTGTTGCTCTGTCCATCCTGGAAATTCCAGGAGGCACAGGCTGCGGGTGAAGTGGAGGGAGACCCTCCCAACTGCATGCCCTGTATGCAAAATTCAAGTACCCGTGGTCTCATTTGGGCCCTTCATCTCCTGCGAGAATCTTTGTGCTAAAAGTGCACATTAGGAGGTGGTAACCAAGGGATCCCAGGTGATGGAGTGGAAAATAGAGGTTTGGTTAATTATGGAACAGGAGTAAAGGCTTCTGCCAAGGAGGGAGAGAAGAAACAAAGGAGAGCAGTGAGGTAGACAGGGCCCTGCCACGTGGGGGAGGGGGAGCCGGACATGTGGAAGGAGGGGCTGGGGAAGGGGCCAGGGTCTGGGTCTGGGTCTGGGAATCAGGGAGGAGTGAGGTGAGGCTGGAAGGGAAAGGTGGAGGCCAACACGTGCGTGCCAGCCATCAACTCAGAAAGGCACTGAGCATGTGGCCCTAGGACCAAACTGGAATGGTCGCCAGTGCGCATGCTCTTTATCTGGGTCAGAGGTACTTCGGGGATTTCTTAGACTCTGGGGGGAAAATGATCCATTTGCCACGGAAGGTAACATGTTCACAGGTTCCAGGGATCAGGACGCGGCCATCCTTGTGGGGCCATTATTCTGTTACCACAATACTCAAAATATCCCTCTAAGGTAAAGGGTAACTTTCATGCCTACTTTATAAAAAACGACAGTGGGGGGTTAGAAAGGATAGGTGACTTGCTCAAGGATACAAAGCTGGGTGGCAGTAGGGCGTTCTGACTTCCAAAGCCACACACAGGGTAAGCCACCCTCCAACACAGGTACCCTGTACAAGTCTGGCATCTTTCCTACCTGGGCCCGGGAAGTCTAGGCATGCAGTTACAGGAGGGATGGCTCCCCGCACCTCTTTATCCCAAGCACAGCAGTGGTCTGTCCAAGCACCAAATGTGTGCAGAGTCCAAGCCCTGCCCATCTCTGCCCTCTTGACTTTGAACATGCAGCTACTCCTGAAGGCTCAGGGGCAGGGGTGGAAGGCAACTGTGAGATCACTCAGGGAAAGTGGGGCAGGTGGTGGGCAGTGAGGGGGTCCCAGGCAGCCTTTGCGGAGCATTGACGGGGAAAGGCTCAATCATCTCCATCGGACACATCTTCCTGGCCAGGGAAAGCCAGGCCAGGGTGCAAGTCTGCTATACCCAGTACCCCAGAGGGAGGAACACTTGACAACTCTTGGACATGGAATAGAAACTCAAAAATCCTAACGCATGAGATCAGTTACATGAATTTTGAGTCATAGTTCTGTCTGTGCTCTTTAACAGTTTTTAAAAAATCACAAAGTTTCATCAAGATATAATTTAAATAAATCTGAGGGGAAATTATACAGTGAATGCCATCTAGTGGAGAGACGTGCCAATTCCCTGACAGGCCAGGCGTGGCCTCCCGCCCGCCCCCAACCATCTCAGCCAGGCCCACCTGTGATTCTTGGTGACCTCTGAACGTCACTAAGCAGTGGCTTGAGCCAGCCCTAGCCCCAGGGCCCCGCTCTCCACCAGCACGCTCAGGCTGGCTCCCGGGTCGGGCCTGAAGGAGCCAGGCCCCAGAAGGGGCTGGGATTCAGGGATTCCCTCCCACCTGGGCCTCTTCTCCAGCCGGCCAGCTGCCTGGCAAACCCCGCCTCCTCCCAGCCCGTTGAAAGCCGTCTGCCCCTTGCAGACTTGATCCTCTTGGCCTGCCAGACAGTCACTGCTTGGCGCTGCAGGCATCTGGCCACAGGCCAAGCTTTGGCCTTCCTCCGAGTCTGCAGGGATGGGGTAAGGAGTGGACAGGCCTGCTTTGGTGCTCTGGGCAAAACGTTGCTAAACCCACAAGATGCTCGTGTTTGGCGGGTGAGTTTAGATAATCCAAAAAGCAGTGTAACTCGTCGCTAACATCCCTCTCCCGGTATTAACGTGATGCTACCCCAGGGAGGCAAGTCCACTGACTACACGGATTCAAAGAGGAGCCCTGAGTCTTTCTGGCGAGAAACTGCTAGTCTTTCATGGCTCCTCCATTGCTGGGCGTGTTTTTCCAACGTCCCCGATGGCAGGTGGCAGAAACCAGCTCTGGCAAAGGAGGAAATGGCCAGAGGCTATGGGGCCACACCGAATCCACCCACAGGAACCTGGAAGGGGCAGACGGCAGGGCTGCTCAGGGCTCCCAGAGCCAGGAACAGAGAGGGGTGGGTGTTCTGCGGGGAAGGCTGAATCCCATCCCACAGGCTCAGCGTCGATCGCTCAGGGTCCAAGGGCCCAGTGGCTGTGTTTAGGCCATGTGCCCTCCCCTGATGACACTGGGGTGGTGAGGAAAGGCCTGTCTACTCCGGCATCTGGACAGACCCACCCACCAAGGCTTCACCCAGTAGGAGCAGGGACCCCCAGGAAACCAGGTGCTTTCAGGGAAGGGAAGGGAGGTGCACTGCAGCCGACAGCCCGCGGCTCTGTTTCTTTAGGGGCCAAGTGTCATATTGCTGACCTCAGCCGTTTCCACAGAGCCACCCCTGGGTCCCGGGGCCAGATGTCTTTCTAGGTGGCATTTCCTCCTGGAGTGCGAGGAGCAGAGTGTCCAGGGCTGAGGATAACCCGAGTGAGACACTAATGGCCACCGTGAGTCTCAGAGTGGGAGAGCGCTGTCTCTGGAGCAGGAGGAGGACATGGCTGCTCTGGCATCGGGGCGCTGTTCCCATCGCAGAGCACCTGTCTGCTTTGGGCCCCGCAGACCATGTTTCTCAACATAAAGTGCTGGAAACCCTGGGGGAAGCTGCCCCGTTCAGAGCTCTGGCTGGCACCTGTGCTCCCAGAGCGCTGGCTGCCTCCCCCGACCACGCCACTTGGGGTGTGCCCCCCCTGCCCCCACCGGACTCCCCAGACTCCTGGTGGGCATCCTGCAGGCAGTAGTAGGCCTGGGCTGGGATGGCTTTGAGTCCTTGGGTTTTCCACCCAGGCACTGGAGGCTGGGGTACCAGCCAGGGGAGCAGTGGCACCCCGTGGGAGTGGGGGAGACACGGTGGGTTGTCTGCGGGCAATTGCTGATGTTCCCTGGGGGCAGGCTGGCTTCTGCAGCAGAAAGGAAGGTTCCAGAGAAGAGAATCGGGAGGCCGAACCCACGTGCTGTCTCCCCGTCTGCAACTGCCTTCTGTGCCCTCCCAGCAGAGCCCGCACATCCCCACAGCATCTGGCTCTGGTCAGTGTCCCTGACCGTCCTTCTCTCCCAAAGTCAGGGACAACTGGACAGGAGCCCAACCCTGTCCCCCGGGCCTGCGTGGTTTGGGACAAGTCACTCGATGTCCCCGTGCCTCTGTCTCATCACTTACATTGTGATAACAAACCCAAGTGCCTTGGGTTTGGTGAGGATGCAGTGAGGGCCCAGCGCCTGGCTCAGCGTACATACTGATATTTTTCTGTTCTTTCCTCCTCCCTGCTATCTGTCTCTTTATCATTATTATTCATAATAACATCACAGTTACCATTTACCTGTCACCTGTAAGTCAGCAATCCCAATACTGTGTGATAAGTGCTCCCATAGACGAGTCCCTGGGGCTGCCAGCCCAGAGCAGAGGGTGGGGGCGGCTCACCTGGGTGGTTCGGGAAGATTCCACTCAAGCTAAGCCTTGACAGGGAAGTAAAAATGACCTGGACCAGCAAACAAGAGAAGGTCATCCCCAGAATGGTCCAGGAGCGAGCACAGAGACCCGGAGAA